GGTTAATTTAGGTTTATTTCGACTTTTTTTTGGTGGTTACGAGGTCGGTCGAATTGACCAATCCCGTTTTGAGATTCGGGTAGAGAAAATAACATATAAACTATACGGATTTCATGAAAAAAAACGTTTGAAATGCATTTAGGAGGTCTTAGGGATTAAACAAAGGAAATTTGAGATTTTTGAGATGGCGAAAAGTATTTTTAATTTTAACATGAAAATTACTTTGCACACAGACTATTCAAAACAAATACTCAATATATTCATGGACAAAACTTTATTTTATTTTATTAAAAGTACTTCACTAAGAAATATGAATTTTTGTACGTGAAAGACTTCTAATATTAACTGACAGACTGCCAAATTTCATGAAGATATACCCAATATATAGAGAGTTATAAGTATTAAATTTATGTCAACTTTAAACGAGTACAGAAGGTCACGTGACTTGGTCCCAGAGACCGAGCCCGTGTCAAAAGAGTTAATGCACTTATAGCTTAGTTAGATAGCCAGTTAAATTATAATACTTATAGGACATTATATTCCTTGTACATGTTATTATTTTGAATATTTCAAATAAATAAAAACTCAGTAAAGCACTACAACAACCCTACAAAAAATTAGGGTTAACTTTTACCAAGACTTCAACTGCAAAAGTACAATAACCATATGTAAATACTAAATTTCTTGTTTTTATGTACATTTCCTATTTGTTTATATAAAAGAAACTAAAATGTAAAAGATCAGAAACTTACTAGGTAAGATAACATAAATGAAAAAACTTAAATAAAAATATTCTAAGTGGGGTATGCATTATGTAATTCAATACTCTGCTTATCGTAACTTGGGCTAGGCACTCAAAGAATGATTTATAGGTTTGTTATGCAGATTTAGTAGTTAGATTTGGTTCAAAGAGCAATAAGTGAAAATAGATGTAAACTGTTACAAACTTGAAATTGTTTAGTAATAAATAATTGTAATTGTCTGCTACAATAGGAAGCTTTTCTACAAAGGAATATTTAATTTATATTTATTTTGTATTTTTCGGCTTTTTATTTTACCTTACATTGCTGATTTTGCTACAGTTAGTGTTAGGGTGGTAGAGAAAATAACTGATAGTATATAAAGTTTTACTAAAGAAACATTTCATATTTATTTAGGTGGCCTGGCATGGCCAGGTGGTTAGGCTGCTTGACTCACAATCTGAGAGTCGCAGGTTCAAATCCCTGTCTCATGAAACATGCTTGCCCTTTCAGCTATGGGAGCAGTATAATATGACAGCCAATCCCACTATTTGTTGGTAAAAGAGTAGCCCAAGAGTTGGTGTTGGGTGGTGATGACTAGCTGCCTTCCCTCTAGTCTTTCACTGCTAAATTATGGATGGCTAGTTCAGATAGCCCTCATGTGGCTTTAAGCAAAAAAAAACAATATTCATTAAGGAAGTTCTAGCGGTTGTGCAAATAAAATATGAAAACTGTAAGAAGAAAAAAGTATTTTTGTTCTTTAAGTGAAAGTCATCTTGCACACAGATGAGTCAGACTGACTCCATGAACTAATAGACAAATCTGTGGTAAAATTATTTTAAAATTCTGACTTTTTGTGTACAACATACTTGTAATCTATATAAATAAATGTCAGTATGTGTGTGTGTGTATCTGTTCCTTATACATTTCCACATTTCTTAATCAACCAGCACCAAACAGTGATACACGGTGACATGAGGATGATCATGGCGGGGGGAGTTGGACACTGGACCCCTCCCATCTAATTTCAGAAAAACTACCAATGTTTTTTTTGATAGATTGTTTAAGCAGAGTATTCATGATTAAACTTAGTTGAAAGGATGGCAACTGCCTGTTATAGAAACACAAGTGTAGAGGATGATGTTTCGAAAGTCTTCCACTTTATGTCTTCAGGTCCTCTACACTTGTGTTTCTACAACAGGCAGTTGCCATCCATTCAACTAAGTTTCAACTACCAATGTTGTATATCCCTCAGCATTAGAATGACCTATGTAACCACTATTGTTAGAATTCTTGGAAACAGCATGTCTTTCTTTTGAGTATTGGTACCATTATTTACCTTTATTGTGCTTTTAATGTTTATTATGTTAAGAAAAAAGTATATAAGCATAATTATCTATCTTTTGTTATAAACAAGTTTTTATTTCACCCATCCAACAGACAAATACTACAACTAGTATTCATTAAAAGCTTACCATATTCCATGAAGATACACTCAATAAATTTAGAATTATAGTAAATATGTATAGCTTCACATAAATGGGGGTTGATGCAATGTAGGGTTAAGCCTTCTAAGCTTACAATTACATTTCGTTTTTTTTCTTTACAGGAACTCAATTTCACATGAAACTATAAATTACTTCTCAAAGCTATTTTATTCATTCTACATTGATATAAATAAAGTATAACATTCTTTATCCAATGGAATTTAAACTTTGCTTGTAGCTGTTTTCAAAGCTGAGCTTCAATAGCAGATGTTCAGATCAACAGCTGTGAGATCATAAAAGAGTGGGAACAGAAGTGATACTAATAAAACCAGGAAAAGCAAAGTAAAACAATGTGAGAAACAAAACATGGATAATTATATTCTTAAGCAGAGATGGTTTCTTAGCAAACATAAACCTATATTTTGGAATGTTTGGAAATATCCTAAAGAAATTGATAAATATGTTGTTTAGAGGCAAGTCCCTTCAGAGCTGGGCAGAAATGAAAGTTTGAATATTTTTATCATTTTTCGTTATCAGTTACACTAAGTGAATAAAATTTGGTAATGGCAAGTTTTAATGATTAATTCTTGAGTATTATTTGTGACACAAGTTAAATTACCAATGTTATCAGAATAATATGCTCATTGTATATTATCCTTCCATGCATGCTTTGTTCATAAATTCATTACACAGAATCACTATATAGATATATATATATGACTACGTGTATGATATGGTACACTTTAATAACCAAGATAATGGAAGAACAGGTTCCAAAATGGAAATTTTTAATTATTAGAAAAAAGGCCAAAATTTTGACCCTCGTGAGTCTTAAATTAAACCAGGTAAAAATACCTTACTGTACAAATCCCTATAAATCACTAACTGACTGTTTGCAGAGATAAACTATATGATACTGTAAACATAAACACACTGTTCAATATTATTTACACAGTCACTTATGCTGTTGTTGAAACACTGTAGTACATCACTTGCATTGTTACTTGCAGAAACAAACTTTATTATACTGTAGGAACAAACTTATTATGTTGTACATTACTATTAGTAAAACACACTATAATGTAGAAACAACTTATAAGTTACACTTGATACAATGGACAAAAGAACTAGCAGAGCTAGTGTAGTTACACTGTATATGTTATTAATACAGTTAGATTAAATTCATAAGTGATACCAGGAATACCAGTTTCATCAATTAAAAGAAACACTACCTGTGAATAGCATTTATCCTCTGGGCTGTATCTTCATGTTTAAGCTCTTTCTCTAAAAGCTCACTAGCCTGATCTGGTGCTTTCACTGAAGATATAGTAAACAAAGCAGCTGGAAGTAAAACAAGCCAATAAATATCTGGCTTCACTTTACAGTAATGACAACTATCTGAACTGAATATAACCATAGAAAACAGCTTATAACTACAGTTCCTTAAAGTAATACACAATATATTCATATATTAATTATAATGGATTTTTTCAATCAGATATGCATTGTGACATAACAAATATTGTACACTAGAGTAACTCAGAAAGGGTGTGAAGTTTATTTTACCAGCTATTATATTTATGACATACATATTTGAAAGCCCTCTCACTACCAAAAACATCTGACAGAGTATGTGCTACACACAGCATGCATAATGTTATGTAATAAAACAAATAACAGTACAGAAAACATAAATTATTATTTCTAATGAAGAGTTACTATTATAACTTCTCAACTATACAGATAAACAAACATAAATTCTTGACAGTGGACACTGATTAAACAAAATGTTGAATTTTTTGTTTGTTGCTAAGCGCAAAAAATCAATACACTTAAAAACCTCATAAACACAGCCACAAGACTCTGTTCAACGAACTACATAAATGAAAAAATTAACCACATAAAGCATTCCTTCATTCACACCAATAAATTTCCACCAGCTATTGTTGAAAAACTCTCCAACATTCCCCACAACAAAACTCAACTCACGAACAAAGTTGATACTAACAAACACATCAACAGAACATTACACTGCAGTTTACCTTTTGTTCCTGAAACCAGCTCAAGAATTATCCACACTTGGACAAAACTAGCCATTAAACACAAAATTCCTGTCAATGTCAAATTCTCACAAAAACTCGGCCCTAAATTAAAATCGGTACTAAACAAAAAGTATTTAGAATCACACAATACCAACGTCATTTACAAAATAACATGCAATAATTGCCCAGAATTCTACATTGGAGAAACAGGAAGAAAATTGGAAACCAGATTGACAGAACACAATAGAAAACCATTGCAACTCAAAAAACATAATATATCTATTAAAAACACAGTAATTTTAAACAAAGAACCAAACATAAATAAACGAAAAATCAAGAAATCCATCTTAATTGAACAAAATAACCCTACTCTAAACCAACACTATGGGATGCCAAGATACCTCTTCTAAGCTTTGCAACAGTATCCGGTCATGTGACCTCTTTGTTCAATACTGTATATATATATATATCTGTGTCAGTGTAAACTACTTGTACCTGATGATGACAAAACCTTGTCGAAACATTGTACATTTGCTGTTATGTTAAACTTATATTAAAGTTTTTCTTCATTACCCATTCAAGCCACCTCCAAGCATTATTAAAATAGATTCTTGTTGTAATTTTGTTCTTATAACTAATAACACACCTGCTGTTGCAGCCAGCTGTTGATCACTTTCCAACAAAAGTTTCCATACAACGTTCATAATGTCCTTAAAGCAGTTATCTGACATGACCACTGTTCCCTTCACAAGTGTGGACAGAGGACTGTGAAACAAGGTCATAACCTGTTGTTGAAAAACCAGCATAAGAATGGTTCAAAAAGAAAATGGATATTTTATTATGACATGATTATTATTCATAGAAAGAATAGCAGTTTACTTTTTTCTATATGAATTATGCCAATATGATTGACTCATATTTCAAAAAGTTGTAGGTTGAAAATACTTAAATTATAACTATAATTAAACTTTCAACTATATAAAACCTAGGATAACATAACTTTACCACTTCATACAGCATCAAAATGAACTGATTAATATTATATAACTCAAATTAAGCTACATTAATTATGGAAATTGATCAGCAGGGTAAGCAAAATGGAGTTCATCAACTTCATGAAACTAGTTTAACTGGTTAATAATTGTAGAGACTTTTCCTTTCTCATCTAATCAGCTTCAAATCATAATCAACCAGTGATAAAATTTCTAGCTTGCCATCAATTTAAAGGCAAGTACAAGTGTGCCAAAAGGCTATACCAGGATTTTTCTATTAAGAAACGCTGTCCATTCAGAGACACAAATTATGAATATAAAGGCATGTATAAGTGGACCAAAACGATCTCCATACACTCTATTAGGTTGCACTATCCATTCTGACAAACAATCATGAAAACAAAGGCAAGTATAAGAGTGTTAAAAGACTACTTCAGTATTCCCATGTTATGAAATGCTGCCTATTCAGAAGCACAGTCCATGAAAATTAAAGTAAGTTTTAGTGTGCTGAGAGGCTATCTGTGTATTATACTGTTATGGCACACTCCCCATTCAAAAGCAAAATCATAAAGACAAGTATCAGTGTGACACACAGATCTCTGCATTACTCTGTGAGGGTACACTGCCCATTCAAAAGCAAATATTATAGACAAACTGTTGTATACCAATTACTTCAAATGGTCCTGATGCTGTCTGTTAAAACTCTACCCAAATGTCCTGTGAAATATGCTTTAAATGATGTAGCAGCAATTCATATATTTATGTATATGGTAGACAGATTCAACGAAAATGTGAAATGGATGATAAAAAACAGTTTAAAAATAACAGAAAATAAACAATTGTCAGCAAGTACCTGATTTTTTAAGTATTTTACAATTGGAAGCTCTTCTTTGGGTTCTTTTTTCACGTATGGTCCAAGCTTCTGTTCTCCTTTGTCTGCTGTTCCTCCCGCCTCTACATCATGAGCCAAGCATGTGATACTACTGTGAAGTGAACGCAGTGCTCCCAGATGTGGAGCATCCACTGCCTTTTCAATCTTGTCAAGGTTATGAGCCACACTTGCTTTACGACGCAGAGGTGAACTTGGAGCAGTGATAATCTGCAAAATTATATAAATATTGATTAAGAATACAAATAAGCTTAAAAATAAGATGCTTTACTATAAAACAAACATAAATGGGTTGAATTATGTAGCATATGTTGATCAAACACTAAATGTATATAAAAAAAATAAATGTTATTTCAATAAATAAAACTGAAACCATATGAAACATATTTATGTAACCCATAAAAAATATTTCCTTACATGTACATATCTATTACTCATAATTATATACATATTTGCCACTTATATATGTTCCAACATATATGACCATGTAAGTGAGATGTGAGTGTATATTGTATAAATATATATGTTTACATAGGTGTGATATATGTGCTAATATTATCCAGTTTCAAGTTAAGAAGTCAATTTGTCATTTGATACTGGTATGATTATCTCCTGAACTGCTAGCATTAGATAACTACATACTGATGTCACCCATTATTAACCATATTTTTAAACGTTTTGTAATCTCAAAGTACAGACAACATATAACGATAACACCTATTCTGTAAAGTAAACATTCTTGTGAATTCTTACATGTTTTTTTAGTTGACCTGGATACTTATATATTACCATCTTGTTAAAAAATATATTTTTCAACTAATATTTACAAAAAAATATTCTTAGCTTGAAAGTACAAATAGTATGTAAGTAAACCATTTTTTATCCAACTATAAGGAATACACAAAGTAATATGATATTTAAGTACAAAATAGCTATAAAAATTTATCTTAAACCAACTTCAAGTTGAGGCTTAGCAATATGTTAGCTTTTCATAACTAGGATAAACTTAGAGTCCTACCAATTTAAGTTGTGATCACATGGAGTAAAGTTAGGTAACTGAACTGCAGAGACTAAGAAGGCAGCACTAGCAGCAGACAAGGTTCACAACAAACATGTTTGTTTTAGCCCTATGCATGAGCATAGATAACATGTGGATTAGGGAATTCAAGATACCTAATGAAAATATGATGAAGGACTATAATGAAAATGAAACCTACATTGGTGAATGAAGGTAGGGAAGAAACTATTAATAAGTGAAAGTTAGTACATAATGCACAGATAAGAATTTCCAGTAAGTAAATATACTAGACTAAATCAAAATCTTGAAATAAGGTTAAGCATGTACAAGCTGTACTGCTACTCAAATTTGCCTTAAAATCCATTTATACGAATTTTCTTAATTATTATTCAGCTAAGTGAATCAACTTAATTAAACAATATATATGAACCAACAGTATTTTGTCCATATTTGATCAAAGTTTGCCTTATTAATTTTGGTACAGTTAGAGTATCTTAACAATTTATACAACTTATCAGGCAGGTAGTAGCACTGCCTATGTAGGGATGGTTGGGATTGTTCATTGAAATAGTATTTTAAATATCTCTTCAATAGGTTATCAGAACTTTACAATACTATAAAATGTTTCCTTTTATAACATTATCTATGTAATGACTGAGTCACAAGTTCTGGGAATGTTTGTAAATATCATAACAAAAAGTTTGTATTTCTTCTTTTTTATAACATGATAACTCAAAAACCAAACCAATGTTGTAAACCAATTTCACTGAGGTGACAGTTTCAAATGGAGTATCCACTTTTATAAGTATTATCAATAACTAATAGTAACTGTAAAAAAATCACAATTCTAGTATAAACGATGTTATCATT